GTGTGTGTGTGTGTGTGTGTGTGTGTGTGTGTGTGTGTGTGTGTTTGACTGATTTGGGGGCTGGAGGAACCCAGCCCCATTGAAACTGAGTCCTGCAAGATAGCTCCATTGGGGGTGAGGACTTGCAGAAGGAGAGATACAGCTCCAAACAGAAAAAGAAGTAACACAAGCAGCGCATTGACAGAATTACAGAGAACCCAGAAACATATCCCTAATAAATGAGCACACCCCAAAGTGACGGGCAAATCTGGTGACAATGCCCTCTGCCTCCCCCAACTCCCTCTGCTACACAGGCAGGCGACCCGTCCCCCCATGGTCTGTACCATTAATGTCACAGGGGAAAATTCCTTCCTGACCTGAAATGTGGTATTTGATTAGACGCTGAGCAGGCACTGGGAACTACAGCCTCTCACCAGGAACTGGGAACTATGGGATTCGTGCATGAGTGACCATGATGTCACTGCGCACCCAGGGAGCTGCACCCCTGAGTCTCCTTGTGCACCCAGAGACCCTGTGTGCACCGTGGGGCTCTGCAAGGAAAAGCCAGAGCACACACAGGCAGCAGGGAGGGGTTCAGGTGACTGTGGAGAGTCTAATCTGACCCCTTTTAGACACAGGATTTTATGGATGACCTGGTTTCCCCTGCCCTGAGCCCAGTCATGCAGGTCTGACTACAGCAATACCAGCGCTTGGCTAAAGCCTGTCATTGAGAAGCACCTCCCAGCTGAAACCAAGCACACCTGGAGAGGAAGGATCCAGGCCAGCCCAGGGGAGTGTGTCCTAGGCCTTCCAGCTACTCCAAGTTCCGGATTCATGCTCTGGTTTTTCATGTTTTGTGCAGTTCCTGACAGCAGCGGCAGTGCCCAGTGACTCTGGACACTCAGCCTGGGACACCCCCGAGGGTCTGGGAGTGGAGCCGTGCTGAGCACCTGCCTTTGAACACCAGGCTCCCTCAGGTGTCTTAGTTGGGTGCCCAAAGTGGAGGCACCCTCAGTCCTTAGCAGCATTTGCAAACCTTGGGCCCCACCTGGCTCACCCGGGCCCAGCTCTCGGCTCAGCCACAGGGCGCTTGGCCTGAGTCCTGGTGTCGGTGTCGCTGCCAACTCCCGTGTCCCCGTAAGCCCTGCTGAGTGCAGCACAGACGGGATTTGTGCTGCCCGGGGAAACGGCTCACTACATGTCCGACACGTGAGCAGTGATCGCCCTCCCCACCCCAACGCCGTGCTCACGGCGTGCAGGCTCCTGACAGCACAGGTCACGTTGTGGTTCGACTCTGCCATGATCACAACAGAAACCTCTGCGTGAAACAGCCCGGCACTGTCTGTGAACACCGTCTCAGAAGTTGGTGGTAACGGCTGCCCACGGTGATCTCTCCACTGCACCTCGGGCTCTGGGTACCACCCAGCCGATCGACACACCATCCGGATCCCTCCGTCCTGGTGACCCTCAGCAGAGACGTGGGGGTCAGAGCCCAGCGCTGGAGAGGAACAGACAAATCCTGCGTTAGGTCTAGACCAGGGCTTCAAACTCAGCCACCCCCTGGGCCGGTGCTGACTGCAAGGATCCTTGCGGGCTGGGTCTGCACACAGCACGGGGACAGTGGCAGTGGCAGTGGTGCAACCAGTGGCGGTGGTAGGGTAAATGGCAGCAGCAGTCACCGTGCTACAGGTAATGGTGCTGGTGGACCGAGCAGTGGTGGGACTTAACCCCTGCCATGGACACATGCTGCTCACCCCAGTTGCTCACACCCCACCACTCACACACGTCACCAATAGGGCTCCATGCCCCCGATTTTGGCAGCAGGCCCCATCCCCACTTGCCCATTGCCTGAATCCCCAGCCCCTCTACAAGCCCCACAGGCTGAACGCTTCTGCTCCACATACGGGATTCACCCACAGTCCCTAATCTGACACAACTGCTCTAGACGTACGGGGGAATTGCCCAGCACCACTGCTAGGATGTGAGTACTCAATTCCTGTTCATATCTAAGGGTCGTGGACTGCAAAATACAATTTTTGGCCTTGGAAATCCCAGTCCCTCCTGCTCCATCAACAGCTCAGACCTTCAGGAAGGAGCCTGCTCCGGACCCTCAGCAGAGCAAGCTACGGGATAAACGCTGGAGAATGGGCCCTGTGCTGTCTGGGAGGCCTGTTCCCTTCGCTACACTCACAGGGCTAGACCCTGGATCCTATTTCACTTGAAGCCCCCAAACCCCACTTACCCAGCTGCACAAGCTGCACTTACACACTGCTTGTGACTGTCTTTTGCTGGAGGGGGAGGAGGGGTGGACTAGAAATGGGCAGTGATCTAGAGAGGCACAGGGGAGAGGAGATGCAGAGTCTCTGCCCCAGGCTGGGAGCTGGTATCTAAGCCAGGGGAGCTGCATGTCGATGTGCAGGACAGGAGGCCCAGGGAGGTGCAATGTGGCCCCCCCACATCAATGTGCTGTTCTCAGCTGTGCGAGAGCCCCTGGGACATGAACACAGCCTGGAGCAAGAGCTTAAAGGGGGTGACCTGCTCCGTCCATCTCCGTGGGCGCTCTCGCCCCCCAGCCGCAGCCCTGTGCCCTGCACCGAGCATGCCTGATTACGCGGGATCCAACCCAGCGCCTGGCACAGATCCGGACTCTCACGCAGTGCGAGGGCAGCGCAGCTTCCCAATGCATTCACTGTGTGATGCTGATCAACTCATACGAGAGCAAATGAGATCCCATGGGTTTTGGTGCATCTCACCATACATCTGACATATGTTAGAAGGTTGGTTCTGATTGGCTGAATTAAAGTACCTGCTGAATTTAAATAGGGCTTCGATAACAAATAGTGTCCTATGAATCTAGGCCAGACCCCACGAGGGCCGTGAGCAAGCTCTGAACCTGAGCCCCAGATCAGACCTCCACCCATGGGCTACAAGTCACAGCTCTTGGCTCTTCTCGGCTTCACAAACCCTTTTGCACTCGCTTTTACACCCTAGCAAGTTATAGCTCATCAGGCTGTTCTGTATGAATGTTACCCACATGGGTCTGAGGTACACTGATTTAGCTTCCACTTCCAGTAGATCAATGAGGTGTGCCCCTGAGGGCTAAGTCCCTCCCTCCGTTAGCATGGTATAGCCATTCCTCTGTCCACTGCCTGGTGCTTCCCCTGCCCGGGGAGAGGAGCCGGCTGGATGGGGAGAGACTGGATGGGGCTCAGGCACTTCACCATGTCTATGGCCTAGGTCCTATTCACCCCGGCGGGGCAGGGTGCTCCTATAACTCTCCATTCTCCCACACAGGCACCCCCAGTTGTGCCCTATCAAACCAGGTGCAGTGAAGAACTTTTTGCAACATCCCCACCCCTTCCCTGATCCCGGGGTCCCTGTCTGTGCCATTCCCTTCCAGCACAGCCCAGACTTGCCACCCATATCCACGCACCAGATTCAACCATTATCTTCCTCATGCTCAGGGCCAAGTGCACCCACATGTGGCCTCCCCCAAACCAGGAGCTCGGTGTGCTCCCTCAGTCTCTATCCATCTTTCTTTCTCTTCTTTCCTTGTGCCAGGAAGGTCATTCAGGCTGTCACCCTGGGAAACTCCTCTAGATGCTGGGGCAGAGGTGAGATGGGGTGTTACACAAGGAAGCACTGATAGCTTTCCAGTTCTCAGCTCCAAACTCAGAGATGTGCTGGTCCGAGCTGCGTGTCAGGCCTGGCGGGGCTCAGCACGTCACCAAAGGACAGGCAGGATGGACCAGCAGCCAAGGCATGTCTAACACATCCATGCCCAGGTCGTACTGGTGAATCTGCCTTTGTGCAACTTTCCTCTGAGCTTATTCTGAAAGAGGCTGGGAGCTTGGTTTGAGCCGCATCCGGGGTTGGGCCGTGGGCACCAACAAGGGGTGGTGAAGGGCACGGCAATACACCCAGCAGGCACTGAAGGGAAGAGATGAACTGGCCTCCGCTCCAACAGCCTTGGCCCAGGCTACAGCTACTGGTGTAAGGAGAGTGTCCTGGTTGGTCTCTAGATGAGCTGTGTTATCTTGTCACTAATAAACACACTGCGTTTCTCTCAGGGTATCCTTTTCAATGATACAGAAAAGGTGACGAGCGAGGAGACCAGCAAACATCCCCTGGGCACTGCTAATGGCATGTGAACTGGCTGATGATTAGCAAGACAGGGTGTAAAGCCCAGAGCCCGCAGTGTTTCAGCCGTATTACAGCAGGGTTGGAGACTGGAGAGAAAATCCAGTGAAACACTCTATGCAGGGATTAGGACTCTCCTGTCTGCATCCATACACATGAAAAGTCCCCACGCTCCTCACAGCTCACTCTGTTGAAGAGAGGGGCTATGTATTGTTATGCCAGAGACAGGGGTTGGCCTCTCACCTCAAAATCAATATATGAAAAATCACATCAAAATCAATATATCCAACATATGAACAAATATCAAAATATATCCAATATAATCACAATTGCATAAAGATCAATATAGCCATGAAAGATATCAACCAAAAAAGTCCTTGCCCCTCGCATTGTTCCTGGACCACAGCTACAGCATCCCCCTACCAGCACCAGTACATATTACGTGTTAATGAAATTAAGTGTTAAAAAGTCTGTCAAACTGAAACCTTCTGCCCCAGCCCCACGGTCCTGCCCCAACGTGCTCCATCCCCAAAGTCCACAGGCTACCCTGAGGTCAGGATGTGAATGGAAAACCTGCCCGGGCTGCTCTCGGGAAATAAATCTCCCTCCTCTCTCAGGAAGCACACACTGCAGGACGTGGAGGCAGAGATGGGATTTAGGGGACTGACAAGTGAACTATCATCTGCTCCCGTTAAGCCCTCCAGCCCCATTCAGTGCACTGCGGGCAGGCCCAGACCGTAACAGGAGCTACCCACCTGTCACCTGCAGCTTCAGCAGAGCTTCTTCATAGGAGACACCAGCCTGGACGAAGCAGGTGTACTGCCCGTGGTCGGAGGGTCGCACCCCACGTATTGTTAGGGAGACGCTCCCAGAGGTGATGTTGTGCTTCAGGAGCTGAGTCCTCCCGACATACTCCTGCATCTGCTCTCCAGGCTGATCCTGACGGTCAGAGTACAGGTGCACGTATGGAGAGAACTGGGACCGGAACCACCGCACCTCCATGCTCTCTGCGCTCGTCGCAGGGGACAGGCGGCAAGGAAGGACTGCCACTGCTCCCACAGAGGCAACAACTGGCTGGTCCGGTCCAATCACTCTGAACTGGGCTGGGGAGAGTGCAAGACCAGAGGGAAATTAAACTGGACAGAAGCCATGAGCTGTGTCAATGCAGCTTCAACGGCAGCATTACATAAAGGTAGACGTAGGCAAACATGCATGCAGAGCAGCCTGGCTGGAGCGGGCAGAGGACAGCATGGCCTCCCTCGGCCTCCCTCTGCAGCGGGGCAGCTCTCTGGCCCTGGGCCCAGCAGTGACAAAGGAGAAGGGACAGAGCCCTGCACATGCACGGACAGGACAGGGCAGGTATATGTCGGAGGAGGAACAGGCCTGGGTCTTCCAGCCGCACCTCAGCCCACGGGGTTCAGGGAAGAGTCTCAGGCCCTGCCTGCTGGGTACATTGCACTATGCATCCCAGCCAGGAATTTAGTTTCCTGAGTCAGAGACCAGGGAAACGGGCCCTTGTAAATCCAGGAGAGACAAATGGTTAGCAGCAAAGGCAGACAAAAGGGAGGGCAAGGTGGCACTTTAGGGCATTGACACACAGACCAAGAATCTTCTCCATCATGCTGGAAACACAGCATGTTGGAGCACACTCAATTAATTGAGTCTGCTGGAGTACATAATTAATCTACCCGGAGCTCTTCCAGGTGCAGTTGTACAAGCGGCGTACTGCACATCAGCACTGAGAAAATAGTAAACGGTGTGCTTTAAACTAAAACACATTTGATGTGCCTTATTTCAAAGCGCACTGCCACCATTTTCTCAGCACTGATGCATGCTGCACCACTTATACAACTGCACCCAATGCAGCACTGGGCGCTTCTCATTAGTGTGGGCTGCTAATTAAATGTACCCAGCTCTGCATCTGGCACATGTGTAAAAATGCCCCTAGAGACTAACCACATAAGATACATGCTTCTGCAACAGAAGCTTCTCTGGAAGAGAGGAATTGCTCTATTAATTTTTCCATAGTCAAGAAATGAGTGAATGCGAAGAGCTGGCATTTTCCAAGGTGTGCCTCGAGTCTAACAAGTGAGTTGTAAGTCTATAAATGTGAGCCACTGATCCAAGGAGGCGCCTTGCCCTGCCTTCTGCCTGACTTCAGACTGCTGTGACTGACTACCTGTAGCCAAGGGAGAGAGACTGACCTGAGACCTGAACTCGGTGCCTGGAACAGGCTCATCGCAGACTGAACTGGAGGCATGACTAGGGACAAGGGAGAGCGCCCCAGTGGTAGGAGATGCCATGGACAAGGCCTGTAACCAGCAGTGGAGATGGGGTAGGAGGA